TGTTTCACTTCAAAAACTAATCTTTTTCCTACATTATTATGCTGTCCATTTCCTTTAAAACACTGTTTTGACATATCAGATGTTTCTTATGTGTGTTTTCATTGTCTTTTTTTATTTTAAATTTTCAGTAGGATTTCATCTTTAATTATGAGTTATTTAACGTTTTTTAAAAATTCCAAATATTTTGGCAGTTGAGGGTTTCTTTTTGTTGAGTACATAATCAATTTTTGTGTGTGTTTTATATATACCTGAGGAGACTGTATTCTCTATTTTTGCATGTAAAACTATATACATGTCTATTAGGACAAGCTTTTACTTTTATTGTTTAAATTGTATATAGCATTATGATATTTTTTGGTTGATTTTTCAAAAATGAAAAGAAATATGCTAAAATCTTTCAGTATGATGGTGGATTTATTTGTTTCTCCTTGTGATACTAAACATTTTGTTTCACATAATTCAAAGTTATTTCATGAGAAGGATGCATGTTTATAATTTTTATACCTTTCTGAAAATTGAACTTTTAAATAATGACTCATTATTTCCAATAATTTTTCTAATTTGAAAGCCCATTTTATATAAGTACAGCTACATGCACTTTCCTATATTATTTACTGGGCATATCTGTTTCTATTCTTTAAAAAAAATTTTTATTTTAAAGATGTGGAGTACAATTCAGGATTGGGTATACAAATGGTCATCATACAGGTAAATTTGGGTCTCCCTTGGACCTTACTTCACCTGGTTTGAGATCAGGTATCCTTTTACTAGCTAGGTATGTCTCTTATAAGTTACGTATCTATAGTTACTGTCTTACTTCATCTGTCAACACTTTCTCTGGAAACTTTGACTTGTTTACATTGATTATTATTATTGATATTCATATTTTATCTGCTTCTCCCATCTTGATTTATTATTTGTGTCCCACTTTTAATGTGTTTCTTCTTAATACTTTCTTACCACTTTTATATCCTTTGGCTTCCCTGTGATGCCTATTCAATCACGCTGGTATTATCTAGACTGAATTATGTGATTATATATTTTACCTAATCTTTGATCTTGGTGTTACCTCCTTTTTTGATTTTATGATCACTTTACCAAAATATTTGATTGATTTTATTTAATAGTTTAGAAGCATATCTTTTAAATATCTCTACTTATTTAAGCATCTCATCCAAAATTTTTCAGTGTTAGTCTGCGTAAGTACACTTTCCTAAGCATTGCATGCCTAAGAATATTTTTATCATTGTCTTATAGGTGAAGGACATTTGGGCTGGCTATAAAACTCGGTGTCTTAAGTTCTTTCTTTTAAATTTTTTAAAAATACAAATTCAAGCTTTTTAAATTTAATTTTTCTATTGAAACATTATATTAAATTCTTATTTCTTAGTAAATCATTTTTCTTTCTTCAGGTTTTTAGATTATCTTAATCACTGCATATTATTAAATTTCAGTATATAATATGTCTAAGCATAGATTTTTGCTGTCTTTATTTTTTGCCATTCTACAGACACTTTTATTTTTAAATAAAAATAAAATAATGATAGCCTAAGTTGAAGTAAAATACTATCATTTATTATTTATTATTAATTTTTGAAAATGAATCTCCATTATATTATAAAATATTTTTCCTTCCAATTTTATTTTTCTCTCCTTTTGAGCTCTTATTAACTATAAATTTATTCTAATAATTCTATTCTCAATATTGTTTAGGCTTTCTTTATTTTTAAATTTTTTTAAAATTAAAAATGTGGGGTACAATTCAGGGTTAGGTATACAAACATTGTATGTTTTCTTTCATATTTTAAGTTTTTTGATTCTTTTCCTCATCTCTTTGGGAGATTACTTTAATCTGGTCTTATATTTTACTAATACTTTTTTATTCCTTTTTAAGTGTATTCATAATGTTATTTTTCCATTCTAGAGGATTTGCTTTTCTTCCTTAGGTATTCTATTTCTCATAACCCCATTTCTCTTTGGTCACTTTGGTCAGTAAGTTTACTTGTTATTTTATATTACAAATTATTGAAATACTTTTGATGAAAATTATTTTTCTTAAATTATGGAATAATTTGAACTATAAGTTCATTTTCTTCAGAAAATATTAGTTACTATAGACAAGAATATTAGTTACTATAGACAAGAATAAGTATATATGTGGGAAGGTCAGATCCAGACAATTTCAGTTCCTAAGAAATTAGTAGTGAAGATGTGAATAAAATCTACAGTGAGGAGCCTCAGATACCAAGAAACCACTTTCAATTACTTCTCACTCCAAAGCATTTTCTCAAATCAGGAGTTTACTTTTCTTCTACAACTGAGAAGTAATGTCTTATAGGGAAGTATGTTCTACCTTGATGAATACATTTTATGATAAATTATTTATTTTATGTCTTTTAAATTTATATGTTGCTTGTTAATAATAACGTTTGCCTGTTGTCATGCTAAAAGTTTTGTTTTCTGAAATAGCAGTCTGTTTTTTTAACCATATAAATATTTCTTCATAAAATTTTTTGATGCTTATAAAATCAGGATGGAAATAAATAGAAGATAGAACATATTCTAACCAAAATAAGTCCCTGAAGTAATGACTTATTAGAGTATGTGGTGTATGTCTAAGGAAAAAAAATTGGAAATATGGTTGAAATCATCCAATATATAAGTTTATGTGCATATCAACTAGGACATTCTAGACTTCATATGGTACTCTGATGTGTATTTGCATATATCCATTTGCCTACTGATCTACAAAAGAAAGTTAAGTCTTCTACTTGATTACCTAATTAACTTATACCTTTGACAAAAGCAGATATATGTTTTCTATGTAAGCTCTATCAGATGTATATGTAACTATAATTTTTCACTAATGTTGTACTCTTACATCTTTTAATGGAGGAAAGGCACTTTAGATTATGTGAAGTATATTACATACTTTGAAATGGAAACCCAATTGTCTAATGATATTTAAAAAGTGATTAGCCATTTACATGAAATAGAGCAGTACCTACAACATAAAATTAAATAGGATATTAATCATGGTGCTTTAGGGCATAAATTAGATAAGAACCAAGATCAGGAGAAGATGTAATATAGCTATAGTTAAGCAGGATTAGATTCATTATCAGAATTCCAACCACATTTCTAGGGAATAATGCATTGGGTACTGTCTGACCGGGTAATATGGATGCAATGAAGTGCTATAGTTAGGAACCTCTCATTTTATTGTTGCACTGTATCTGTGATAGGGCTCCTTTTCTTCTTTAACATTTCTGCAATTTGCCATTTCTGCATTGAAATCTATCTGAATTCAAACTCTTCAGAGGAAAAGTGCCCTTTCCCTAGTTCCTTCTCCCTCACTCCCTTTTTGTTCAGTGTGTCCATTATGTTTCTCAAAGGCACAGTGATAATGTACATTTCAGACTGGTGATGCCTCAGCTCATAGCCAACAGGCTTTTCAGAAATGACTTTGGAAATTTTGTTCTTTAAAAAAGACAACTAAATGACTCTTATCTTAGGGAAATATCTGCTTTTTGGATTTCTTCCAAAAAACAAATGTATTTATTTGGTACTAACAAATCATCTTTCCAATTTGGTCAGTTTTGTAACTATATTGCAATGAGGAGAGAATGCATAAATACCTGACTTAAATAGCTCACTTCCAAGATCCATAAAGTGAAAAAAAAAGAGTTTCTATAAAATAAATGTGGAAAGGAGTCCTTATAGAATGAATAATGAACATTCAATATATGAAAATATACATCAGAGTACCTACCATATACAGTCCAGATTGTCCTAAGTGATATGCACATAAACTTATATATTAGATAATTTCAACCGTACTTTCATTTTTTTCCTTAGACATACATAATATACTCTAATGAGTCATTACCTCGGAAACTAATTTTGGTTAGAATATGTTCTTCATATTTATTTCCAGCCTGATTTTGTAAGCGTCAAAATTTTTCTCAGGTTGAATTAGAGTTTTGTAAAAAGTAGGGATGTGGAGTTAGATTCTCAATAATAATAATGCTGTTGTAGCTTTGTGTGATTATATGCTCAGTTCCTCGTGCTCAAAGAAAGGAAAGTTTGCTTCTCATTCAGCTCTTGGTTTACTGCTCAGCCATAAAATACTTGGAATGGAAATACTTAAAAATTTCAAATCTTCCATCGTAAACACGGCTTGTTCTAGAAGAATAAATATTATCTTGGAATATGGATATTATTTAATTTAATTTCCTTGGAAGACCAAATCAATAAGCACATTCTGCATAATGAAATGGTGCAATTTTAAATTGTGTATAAAGCACCTTAGCTTTTCTGAAAAAATATTCCCAAGAAGCAGTGCAAGAGTTGCAGTGTTGCTATAATTGGATGTACCTTATATTCACTAGAGGCAAAAGTAGTCTTAGACTACTTTTGGTTACCAACTGGGATGTGTATAACAATCTAGAACATTAAGTTTACCATGAGAAAAAAAGTATGCCTCTCAGGAAGGAAAGGGTTTCTCATTTAATTAACAGTGTAAAACACCTCTTGACTGTGAGTTGCTGGTAGCACTAATGGTATTAAGAAGGCTCCCAAAATCTTCGACAATTATACCTAATTTGTGGTATGTGATGAACTTCCCAGCTTTGCAAAGATGTGTATTGATTTTTGACCAAAATTATATTTTTAATTGTATTCATTTATTACCAGGCCACATAATATATCAAACTTCTATAACTTTGTAAATATTAATAGGAATATTCCTTCATATAGTCACTGATTTTTTTTGCTTAAATACAAATGGATTTTTTAAAAGCACATCTTATCCACAAGTTTTTTGTAATGTCTTTAGAAATAATCAATGCATATTCACCTCTTGTTTAAAGGTAAAGTGCTATATATTGCAAATTATTACTAACAGAGGCAAATTTTAAATGGGGAATATAAAACATACAACTAAACATATCGTGTTTATGAAAGGTTTCATTGATCCTTTCTTTCTTTTTACTCTAAAGTTATCTGGAAGTATTTTGGATGTGTATAGTGGCGAGCAGGGAATTTCACCAGTTAATATGGGGCTTACGAGTGCTTCCTGTCCAAGCAGTCTGCCAATGAAAAGAGAAATTACAGGTAATGTTTTTTTTTTAATAGTTTTACCCTTTTCATTTTTATCAACTACATAAAAAAAGAGTGAAGTCTATTATGCTAAGTAGAATTTTTAAAATATAAAAAGTCAAGAATAGGGACATTTATCATTTTTCATTCATCAAAAAAGGAGTAAATTATTTTTGTTCATGATAACCAAGCAATAAGTTAATATGTTATAATTTAAATGACTTGATTCATTATTTCATAAATGGAACAAATTTGCACATCTGCCTTAAATATATATAGGACAGCTTCATTTAATATAGGCTCATTTTGATATTAAATAGATGCAATTTATTAACATATGGTAAAAGAAATTAGGGAAATTAGTCTATTCTTTGTATGCAGGAGTTTATATAAAAAAATTAGATTTTCCCCTGTTTAATTTATTTCACAAATTTTATAAGAGACTTGCATTTAAGTTTCTCAATTGGGAAAATTCTCAGTTTTTCTTAGTCTATTTGAAAATTGTTATTGCAACTCAAAAAATTATAGGGGCATAATAAAATTCTTCTGAAATATAGAGGAGGAAACCCGAGTCAGAGGAGTTATTTTTCTAAATTTATACAGTTGGTTAGAAGCAGAAATGGATCAATGTAATAATTTCCTGACTTACAAAACCAGTATTAGTTATTTCATAAAAATAAATAAATTCATTTGAAATTTATATCACACGTTTTTTGGTTTGGAACTCAAACACTGATATTTAATAATTTTACATAGTAATAATAACTTTTAAAATAAATACAATATGACCACTCTTCAAGCTTAATCAAAATAAACATTCACATTATGTAAACTAAAATTACATTTACTCTTAGCCAAAAGACCATGAAGCAGTTCGGACTAAAATTAATGAATATAGTTTTAAATAAATACACTTAAATAAAATATATTGTTTTATGATCTATTTTTAACTATAATAACTATAATAATTCTAACGGTGATGTATTAATTATTTATTGCTGTATAATAAAAAATTACCCTCCCAAAACTTACCAGTTTGAAGTAATAAACATTATCTCATTCAATCTCTGAGAGTCAGGAATCCAGAAGTGGCTTAGCCAATTGGTTCCCACCCAGAGTATCTTATGAGGTTGTAGTCAAGACATCAACCAGAGATACAGACATCTGAAATTCAATGAGGCTGGAGGATGCATTCCCAAGGTGGTTTACTCAAGATCTTGCAAGATTGTGCTGTGTGTTGGCAAGAGATCTTGGTTCTCAATTGCATGGACTTCTTATAGGATTGCTTGAGTGTCCTCATGACATGACAGCAGGTGGTCAAAGAAACCTCAAAGAGGAAGTTGAAAATGTCTTTTTTAATCTAGCCTTGGAAGTCACACCAGTCATTTCCACAACATGCTGTTGGCTTCACTGGCCAACCTTATTCAATGTGGGAGGGAACTATAAGGTGGAAATACTCCAAGGTGAGAGTCATCGTGGGCCATCGAGGAGGCTGATGACCACAAACACAGCCGTGTAGCACATAGAGGGGAGTTTCATTTACTGAAAAAGAGTGTGGAGTTACTTCATATGAATATTCAAGAAATGTAGTATGTTCCAACTCTTGGGATGTAGAAATCATAATTTTAAAAAATTAGGTCGGAATAATTTATTTCCAAATCTCAAAATTCTGAAAATAATAATATCATGATTGAACAGTTTAATATTTTCTGTAGACTGTACTATTTTATTTATTACGGTGATGATAGAGTAAGTATTATATTTATTTTAGAGATGAAAAACCTGAAACACAGAGAAGTTTGGTAATAGATCACAAGGCCACTAAACAGAGGAACAAAATAAAAATCTAGGTTTTATTATCCCAGAGCCTAAAGTTTTGCCGTTATCTTTTACTGAGGTATCTCTCACTGTTCCAAATTTTCAAATATTTACATAAAAATATTATTGTACCATTTTGAAGCAAGTAATGTTGTATTTTTACGTAGTAGTTCTGAATTATATTGCCTGGAGGGGTTTTAAGGTAGAACTAAGCTCTATTTCACTTATTTTTCTTTTGATCAGAGACTGACACTAGAGCTTTGACAAAAGAGAGACAAAAAAAGGATAACCACAACCTCAGTGAGTATATATTTTTCTTCACATAAAATTGTTAGTGCAAGAGGAAATGCATGGAGGTTAAAGTGTATGGTCTTTTGTTATCACTCTATAAGCATTTGGAGATAAGATGATCAAAATTAATTGTACATGCTCACCACTTGAGCTATTTTGGGAAATCTAAACAAGGTGAACTTTCAGAAAAGCTATGCATTTTCACAAAGTGAATCATCCCAAATTCTCTCCTTGATCATTCACACTCAAGGAAGCAGACTGTAACTGAGATGAGTGCATTTGGTTCCATTTGAACTCCCTTGTGACTCATTGACTCAAAGGTTTAAAGAGATAAAAGTGACTTTAGGAAGTGTATACCATTTAAATAGTAAGAAGCATAACTCCAGATTCTCATTTTTCTGTGTCAATCTGTTCCTCTCTTCTGAATGATATGTTATCTAAAAGGCATTGCTTATGTTGTGCTGAATTTCACCTCTGGGGAAAAAAAGATCTCTCATGCCTTCCCAAAGGTCAATTTGACTATGATAATGGGTCATATGAGATGGAGAAATGCAGACAAAAGAAATAGATTAGCAGCGAGACTGAACTGTAGGGTGCTTGGTCGTGTCTTAAGTGCTTAACTGTCTCAAGTGAGCTTGACTAATGGAGTGTGAAGCTTTTTTGTTCCAGGAGCCAAATCCAAAACTGAGGAAAGAGTAAAATGAAAAAAAAAAAAAAATTAACCCCTAAAACTAACCGGCAATGTGCATGTGACTAGCTGAAGTTGATTCTACACGTACCTGTGAAGCTTGCATCTGTTTATAAAGCACCTGTCTGTGTCACAGTGATAAGTCAGTTTGCTGAGTGTGTGACTGTGAGGTAAGAGCTGGCACGTGGTTATTACAGTCCTTAGGGAAATGATCTGATTCCCATAGCCCTTAGTGGCAAAGCTGATAACTTTGATCCAGATTATTAGACAAGTAGCATATGAGTGGGGAAAGCTAATGGTTGATAGAAGGAATTAGAACATAAATGAGCTATGGACTTCTCTCCCAAAAAGCTTTTTAACAGTTACTGACCTTGCTCCTACCTTTTTTCCTCTGTGTCTGCAGCATATACATCAGGACATAAATGTAGAGTAATATAGGTGTCCTGTGTGCCCATTATCAAAGTGTTTTCTAATCCGGATTATCTTGCTACATCATCTTGTTTTGGGGAGAAGTCAATGCTAAAAAATAATATCAAAATTTTTAAATATAATGAATCAAGAACAACCCTTAAAACTTGTGAGGGTCATGGCAAAATTACAATGGAAGTCCCACTTACCAGATATCTAAATATGTAAAACTAAGTATGCTACATCCTTCCTAAAGACTGGAAGGCCAGGAGTGGATTTAGAGTTCTCAGCTTGTTGGAATTTAGCATTAAAATGTCAGGTCAGAGCAGTGCCAGCTCTCAGCTTGCAGTCCACCTTCTATTTCATTCTGTACTGTAAGTGGCCTTAAACATGAGTGTGAACACCTCATCCTGTACATTCAGACTCCATACACAGCATTGCAAACAACTGGTCTTTGGTGACATCTTGGGCCTATGGTGAATGCACTGGTGTTATATATCCCCTTCAGGAGGATGGGCATTGAGACGTGGTCTGCACAGGCTCTGGAAGTAGGCTTAGGGCATCAGGGAAGAAATTGCTTAGGCAAATTTCCCAGAGTATAGCTTAGAAGGAGTTTCTTGGCTCTTTGGTTGTCTTGCTCAGTGGGACGAGATTAACCAGAGAAGGCAAGAGTGGGTCTTTTAAGTATGGATCAAGGTAAGGAACTTGTCTGGATTCAAGAACAGGATTGAGTGAATATGTCCAGTACTTTGCACACAGTAGAACCACATATGGCAAGAAATAATTGACTCCTTTACAAATAACTAGCACTGTTACAAATATTTGAACTGTTTAAGTATTTTTCAGTATTGTTGAAATATGTTTTTCTTTATAGCCTTTTTCTACCTTTATTTGTCTGAAAGTCTTAAACATGTTAGCTATTAAAAATATTATGTATTAGTGTATGTAATTGCTCTTGATATTAAGAATGTAGAGTAGAAGACTTCTCTATAGAGAAGAGTTAATGTAAGAAATTCAACATATATATTTCTGATGTTTAATGAATATTTACTACATGCACAAATTGCTATAGGCAATTAATGCATGGAAATAAAAACAGAAAAAAGAACAATCTTTGAATAAAGGCCTATATCAATAGTTCTCAAAGTGTTGACCCTACAAAAAAAGCATCAGCATCACCTGGGAACTTGTTAGAAATGCATATTTTGACTGTCCTTTTCTCTCCTCTCTAACTTATAAAATCAGATTCTCTAAGTGTGGTACAAACAGATTCTCTAAGTGTGGTACAAACCTATTTGAAGAATCCCTTTAGGTGTGTCTGAGATACACCAAAGTTTGAAAACCACTGCTCTATATGTTATTGAAAATTAAATTAGAAAAATACATTTATAGCCTAAGCTATATCCATTTATTCAGCACCTTCTGTATGCCAAGTCCTCTGGTGATACAAAAATAAGTAAGATAGGACCCTACCCACAAGAAGGTCATAGTCTAGTTGAACACATGCACCTACTATGTGCTAAACATTATGTTAGACTTTGAGGAGAGCATATGAGAATAGTAAAGAATGGGGCATGACCTTGAAAGATTACAACTCTAAAGGACTGGGAAATGACCTAACAATCAAACAGCGTGTGTGTGTGTGTGTGTGTGTGTGTGTGTGTGTGTGTATGTGTGTATACACACACATATATTATTTTAAATGCCATATATTTACTCATATTAAAATGTACATATGTATATATAAGGTGTATACACACACACACACACATATGTGTGTGCATGTATATATAGATACACCTTATATATACATAAGTACATTTTAGTATGAGTAAATATATAGTATTTAAAATAATTTTTAAAATATTGCTTTTGTGACAAAATGTTTTCAAAACATTGTAAATTGTATATTTACAATTCTAATATTGTAACTTTTTGAATAGATACATTTGATTTTTTTATTTTATTTTTGAGAAGTATTATCTTGGGACTAAATGGAAATATTTTTGCCTATTGTTTTTTAATAGATTATTAAGAAAGTTTACAGCTGACTAAAAGTGAACTGTGCTTTAATGAGAATAATTAATAATATTTCTTCTTTAATAGTTGAAAGAAGAAGAAGGTATAATATTAATTACCGAATCAAGGAGCTTGGCACTCTTATTCCAAAGTCTAATGATCCGTGAGTTTAACAATCATTTCTATAATAATGTTATGGTTTCAATACCCCCAAAAGTAGGTGGGAGGGAAGAGGGGAGGAGAAAACCAATGACTATGAAACTAAGCAGCTTACAGCAAAGATGAGGCTGCTGCTGGGCTCATTTTAAATTATTTTCTCCAGGTTAATTGTTAGTAAGCGTCAAGGCTGTGACTAAGAGTTATTCTTTTGGACTATAAGAAATAAGTAAGTTATTTCTCTTCAGGCATCTTTCTGTATGATGACTACATCGACAAATTTAGTGATAACGTCAAATGCTATTTATGACTGACTGGTATACTTTCAATTTGTGGGTACAGCAATTCTTCCAATTTAAGATTTGAATGTACATAAAAATAGAATTGCCAGATTTTCCAAGGTCCCCAAATTCTGGAGGCATATAAGTTAGAAATGGAATTGTAAAAGCATGTTGATTGCGGCTTACCAAGTTTTGTGTCACATGAATACAATGTTAGGCAAATACATTGTTTGAGGTTGTAAACATCAAGAAATAATTAATCGAGGTATCAATTTACAATGTTGAATCTTTCTCCAAAAAAAGAGAAAAAAAGGAAAAACATGAAATCTGAAGCATTGATAATGATTTGAAATATTTCATTCAAAACTGAGAACAGGCACTCTCCAAATGCTAGAAACTATCTATTATTCTGAAATGATTGTGTTTCTAAAGTGATATTTGTGAGATTTAAAAGCACTTTTTCCCTAAATCCAAATTTGCTAGTTCACTTGGGCCATTCAACAATATGTGATACAGAGACTGTAGTAACATTATGTGCATACTATTAGATACATACTAATAGAGAGTGAAGGCATCTAGAAGAGAATGCCAGAGACAGCACAGGCTAGAGAGTCTGAAGAGCTTAGTCTAATCTAGGCTCCATCTAAAACTCTTTTAATTTTTTAAGGTCTCTGCATATGATTGGGTGTTTATAAAAATAAAATCAAATAAGGTGTAGTAGAATACGTTGCAAATTATTAAGTTTGTATGAGAGATGAGTATTACTCTACATTTTTATAAAAGATTTGATTATCTAAAGACCTTTTTCTTTAGGTAATTGATTGTCTAGAACAGAGGATGAAAAATTTTTCTTGTAAAGGGCTATATAGTAAATATTTCAAGCTTTGTGAACCATGCAATCTTTGTCACAATTATTTAACTCAGGCATTACAGCATGAAAGCAGTCACAGACAATATGTAAATGATTGAACCTGACTGCATCCAATGAAACTTTATTGACAAGAACAAGCTATGGACTAGAGTTTTTCTAACTCTGGTGTAAATAAGCATTAAGTGTCTTTCTCTTTCTTATGAATCTCAGGAAGGAAGGTTATTTTTTTTATTCCATTATGTCATATGTAAGCAAATAACATTTACTTGGGATATAACTGAAAATACATTAATTTGATGTTTTGAATATGTCTATACCTGGATCTTTCCACATAACCCAGACAGAGAAGACACTTTCCTGAAAGAATACCAGTCAACATCACAAATAGTATTCTGAACATTTGGCATCCCAGACATCTCAATACCAGTTCTGCATCAATACGTTTCAGATCTTAGCTAGCTGTGGCCTCACCTGTTATTCTAGTGTCCCTCTTTAGGATTTATCAGTGAGAGTCTCATGATTGAATCTGGAGTGCAACTTCCTAAAACCCCTGAGAAAGGGGGTCTGGATCCATGAACTTAAGAACTAGTTATCTACTTTGAGAAATTATTTTTGATTTATTTGTTGAATTTTCACACATTACTGTGGGTAATCTAAAAGTTATAGAAAACAAGAATGCTAGGGAGAGTGTCGGGATAACACAGAGGAAGCAAGTTTCACTTTACAGGTGAGAAAAATGAACAAAGAGATGCCATTGTCACGTTATGGTGAAGTAGTGAAATTAACAAAATGTGGATCTGAAAAAAATCAAACAAGGTTTCAGTTTGAGTTTAACACATTTTATAAGCATTTCTTGAGTAGGTGACTACAACTGCTAAAAGGAAAAAAATAGTGTTTTTAAAACAAACAAGAAAATACATCAGAATACACAAATATCTAGTATAGGATATTTCATATTATGTGCCATTTTTATTAATGGGTCCTGAACTGAAATGGAACCAATCCAGCATTTTTTTAAAAAGGAAAAGTACATTGAAAATATCAGTGAATATTATAGACTATTCGACTCTAAGAAGGATAATAATGCCTTGTGAATCTTTGATTCAGCTTTATGTGCTAAAAATGTACTGAGTCATTACATAAAGCATTTCTTATGATAGATGCATTTGAAAAGGTAAGAAAGGCACGGGTTTGCAGAAAGAGCACTAAATTGAGTAAGAAGAATGTGAGTTTATCTTCTGAGTACTATATACTATTAAGCAAAAGCAGGAATTGTGGCGTCGTTGACCTCTGGGGACCTTTCCAACTCATAATTGGAGTATATTTTGTGGTTGACTTCGGAAATCAAGACAAATACCTGAAGATACTTAGACTTCTCTGAAGTTTCCGTTTTTATGTATCAAAACATTCAGAAATTTTGATTTTTTGCAGGTCAAAATGGTGAGTAGAAAAGGAAAAATGATATAGAGAACAGCTATAATTAAGAAGTGTAGGTTGAGAAAATTGCATAAACAAATTACCAGGCAGTGACAATCTCTTGACCATTGATAAAAATAAAAACAAAATAAAACAAGCAAATGCAAAAAATGAAGAGCTTCTACAACAAGTGATAGTAGTCTACTTTAGCATGGTTGGAGGTACTTTTGTCCATATGTGTTTTTGTGAGCCATACTTGCAAAAATCACATTAGTAGAAATTTAAAAATATTGTTAGAGCATGACTTAGTTTGTTGGTGATATCAAAGTACTCTTGTTTTCCCACTTCTCAAATTTACAAAACACTTTATAATTTTTTGACTAAATTGATTTTTTCTCTCCTAACTTCCTCCTGATTTTATGTAGGAAGGGTACTTGAGGTAATAAATAAAATCTTAAAAAACTTTCTAAATCAGGAGTCACAAAATGTTGATCCCTGCAAGAAAAATCAGACCTGTCATGCTGTTTTCTTCATATATATGTGTATATATATATATATACACACACACACATATATATGTATATATATATATATGTAATGCTTTAGGTGGATGTGCACACCTACGATAAGAACAGATTGCATATTTTCCGTAGTTTTGCCTGACAGCACTCCTACCCCAATTTTACATTGGAATAATTTGCCCTGGCCCTAAATGCGTTCAAGGTCCAAACATTTTAAGATCTTCAAAAGAAATTGTCTTGACTAAAATGAAAGGCCAATATCAAAATTCATTCTTTAGTCATGAATTTATTATTGTCTATATTTGCAGGGTACCATCATTTACAATATTTTAATGCCTAATTCCTGGAAATTATTTTGGAACAGAGGTAAAATATCTTGCATAAATATAAAAGCAAAATATTTTAAGAAGGAACCTCATACATTAAGACAGCTTTAAAATAGAATGAACTTTTAAAAAACTTATTGGAAATAAGATCAAGTACAAACTGAAAGAAGAACCATTGTGTGTTCTCTGCCACCATTTTGAAGATTTATTTTTGATCTAAATAAACTGTACTTTTAAATTTGAAATTGACTAGAATTATTCTTCTTATATATTCCTTCAAATTTTTCTTTCCATTAGAAGAAATGAAGCAAAATGAAGGGTACATAAGACTCCTGCTACTGTTCGGAGTTTTAGTTTGGAGTCCACTACACGATTCAGCTGTAGATAATTTCTTGTTTTAACAACAAAGATAGCTTGTCTTTCCCTACCCTTCCCACCACCACCTTCCTACCCATCTCCCTTACACTGTGAATGGAATTATATCAACAGTCATTACAGTTTGCGATAACTACAAAGCATTTTAAAACTTGAGAAAGATATTAACAACTGTTTGCTACATTTCAGTAGAAGACAACTCTGGTCCAGGCCCTTGTAAGCCTTTTCACTTGCAGGTAGACAAATGTATCTTTCTTTAATTTGTTACTGCTAATGGCACTGTCACACAACCTCAACTGCCAATGAAACACATGCAAATCAGATTTTTCATGAGCTATATCTGTGACCCTTAACATATATATTTACATATATATATAAAGTTCATATATTTTATAAGATCACAAGCCAAAAGTATATGTAGGAAAATCTAATGTTTTTCTATCTGCTTACTTTAAGTTATATTTAAAAAAAAATCTTACGTCTTTAAATTGAAAATTCATCAAGGTTTTCCAACAATGCTAACATTTAGCAATTAGTTTGGCCTAATTCTCCACACATACTATCAATTCTCATACAGTCTTACATTCATTGATGTATGTTTTCAGTTATTAAAATCACTAGTCTGTTCCACAATTTTATGTCTGTAATTCATCCTGTCTTATAAATAAATTTTAATAAAACATTTCTTTCTGTGCTGTAGCCTTAGAAGTTATCTGCTAATGTTTAATTGTATTTACTTATCTTAAATGTATTTTTTTTTCAAAGCTATCCATGTCAAGCTTTGTAAAAAGTATTGTTGTTTGATTAGAAAAATTTACTTAATAGTTTTAGGAAGTTTGCTTTATTGCATAAAGTAATATTGCCAAAGTCTGATTTGTTTCATAGTCACTCAGGATCACCATTCAGGAGGGTCTTTATTTTTTTTTTCTTAGAAACATAAAAGCAACCTTATTAGAAAGTAGGTTAAAAGATTGGTACATTTGAAATGATCTTAAAAAATTTAGGCTTAAGTCCTCGGTAATGTACATTTTCTAGTTCATTAATGCAGAAATACTGCACATAGATTTTAATCTTGGAGTTAATAATAAAAGCAATTTTCACTAAAAATATAAAAACTGTAATGGTAGAATCATGATATTGCATTTAGCTCTCCCACAAAAAGTCACTTTATTACTTTCTTTTGACACTTATTTTCATTCTGGGATTAATTTTACTATATAAGGGCTTCTTAACTATTCTATTAAAATTTCTATTCAGAAGCAATAATATCTAAGAGTGAATAATAGTCATGTAAATCATTATTTCATATTAATGTAAAAGATTTTGTAAGTTCTTATGAATTCTGCTGACATGCACAATTGTGAAAAGGTTATCTCTCCGTTCTACAGTGATATGCGCTGGAACAAAGGAACCATTCTAAAAGCATCAGTGGAGTACATCAAGTGGCTACAAAAAGAACAACAGAGAGCCCGAGAATTAGAACACAGACAGAAGAAATTAGAGCAGGCTAACAGGCGACTTCTCCTCCGGATTCAGGTTTTTATAAGAATGTTGCCATGAGCCACATAGCTTACATGTGACTTACCCATCATCAGTTTTATTCATCGATCTCATTTTTTTCTTATTAACAATGTTTTTTTCTTAATTTTATTGCCTTTTAGATGTCCATGAATTGGATTGTTTTAATTAGGCTTTGATTAGAAACCCAGGATCAAGGTGACTTAAAAATGTACACATAAACACATGTGTGTGTGTGTGTGTGCGTGTGTATACAACTAATCACAAAATGCAGGAAATATAACTCATTTCATAAATACACACATTATTATCACCATCAAAAATAATACTAAGTAGAATATTTATGTCTCTAGATTATTGAACACTAAATTCTCCACTCCCCCTATTATTTTTCTACTAACATTGCTATGGGTTTAATTGCCTCAAGGCTTATTGTTCTGGTTTATATTAAGTCACTTCTCATTTGTTCGTATAACAAAATATAAAAATATAGCCTTGTATAACTCTCAAGTTTTTTTTTATATGAACATGCTTATAGCCAGGTAAAGCATTTACTCTCTCTCCATGAAATGGTCCTTAATTACGGTAAAAAATGAATGAGAAAAATTAAGTGGAAGATTTTCTATCACACATGGCTGTGTTGTAGTCTGAGCCACTATGGACTATCATATGTCATAAATCCCTTTATAGAACAATGAGGTGAAAATTAAAAAAAAAAACAATCTGATTAATTTTCTCAGGGTTATTTTTCTGGCACTAGGAATGCACCAATTCCTTTATTTTAATTTATAATTTATATTACTCTTCACTTTAAAATGCTTATATTTAATAGTTTGTTTCTATTTCTGGTTTATTCTTTAGCAACCAATTCACTTTCAGAGACATTATTTAATAATTCTTGTTTGAAATTGCAGGAACTAGAAATTCAGGCTCGTGCTCATGGTCTGCCAACCCTGGCTTCGCTTGGCACAATTGATTTAGGTGCTCACATCACTAAACAACACAGCCATCCTGAGCAGAATTCAGTAGACTATTGCCAACAACTGACTCTGTCTCAAGGGCCAAGCCCTGAGCTCTGTGATCAAGCTATGGCCTTCTCTGATCCTTTGTCACACTTCACAGATTTGTCATTTAGTGCTGCATTGAAAGAGGAACAAAGATTGGATGACATGCTATTGGATGACACAATATCTCCGTTTGGAACAGATCCTCTGCTATCTGCCACTTCCCCTGCAGTTTCCAAAGAGAGCAGTAGGAGAAGTAGCTTTAGTTCAGATGATGGTGATGAGTTATAAGAAATGAACAGGCTCAATTCATCAACTGGGAAGCAGTTCTTTGCTGGTGCTATGCAGTTGTGCTCTGTGTTTCATATTTTGCTTTGGCTCAATATTTCCGAAAGGTATTTGTTGATTATGAAAAATTGATTGATTAGAAGCAACGGAAGAATTTGCAGAAAGAAAGAAATGTGGTGTTAAAGAATTCTTGAGGGCCAGAAAAGATATTTAACTCTGACTACAGAGTACAAATCTTAAATTTTGTCTTCCTGGAAAGAGGTACAGCATAAGAAATCATTACTGATATTTTAAAAACATTTCTTGGTGATGTACCATTGAAACTCATGACTGTAAACCGGATGAAATATATAAACTTTCTCTTAGTCATTCATGTCCATCTTCTCTTCAACTCTTACAACATCGGTTTTCAGAAATCAAAATCAGCCTATCTTGTGGTTATTGTCTCTCTCCATTGTCTAGAGGATGTGTTGTCCAAAGTTCAAGGCTTATAGGGGAAATCACTGTGAAATAATCTGTTACTTGTAATTGAAAAGTGAATCTACAGTAAACATGAGAATTTTCCATAACGAAATCCAGAAAATTTATAAAAACTTTGGTTACTAAAATTAGATCCTAACTCAATTAGTTCAATTACACTGATTCTAAAAACATTTTTGCATATTTACATCTCCATGCTTTGTTCACAAAAGGAAACACACTGACTATTTTCCTCAGGAATATGGACTAGAATTTTATCCCTTCACACAAACATAAAGCACATGCATCACACATGGTATATGCTCTTTCTTTTTCCTTATTCTTCTGATTATCTAATCAGCATCAGCATCACATTCCAAGTTCTCTTGTCTTCATCAAGAAAAGGTATCAGATAATCTGTTTCAGTAAATAAAATATTAAAAATTCCTTCTGCTAAGACAATTTGTTAAGTATTTAAAGTTTATTATCACATCCAATATTGGATATAGTTTGAGTTGTTGATGCAGTTTTGTTTCAAATTGATAAAATATTAAAAAGTGGGTTGCCAACTGACAAAATAATTAGTAAAACGGAAACTATTTCTTATTTTATTCAGTTCTGAGTGGAGAATACAGTTCTGTTTCCATAAGTACTTAGGGTACCTTAGGATTTTGGTTGCTTTGTTAGCATTTATTACAAACATTTGTATCTATGACACTTCACTAAGATTTTTATCTTTTGAGCTTGTTTTAGGTTTGGGAATTAAGTCACCAAACATGCCGCTCTGTGCTGGACCTCCTTGGGTGATTATTCGATCAATTCATATTTATAAAGGGATACTCAGAACTTCAGTGAGTCCTGTAAAAATGTAGAACAAATGAACAAGATATGGGCTTACTCCTCTAAGTTAACAAGACTGCAAGAGAAACAATGACAAAAGACAGAAGACATAAAGTCTAAGAATAGGCTGTAAATACAGAAGGGCAGAGAAAATAAAAATGAATGACAAAACCAGACACAGTGACTCACGCCTCTAAACCCAGCACTTTGGGCAACTGAGGTGAGAGGATTGCTTGAGCCCAGGAGTTCAAGACCATCCTGGGCAACATATTGACAGCTCATCTCCACAGGGAAAAAAAAAAAAGAAAACAAAACACACACACACAGTATATGGAAACAGTGGAATACAATCTCTCTTTTAAAGGTATAAATTCAGGGAGGATGTATAAATAAGGGAGGATGTATAAATAAGAAATATTAACTAAATGATAAAAGTGAGAATATTTTGAGGAAGTATCTTCATGAGACAATCACTAGAAAGATCTGGGCACTCTAGAAGATGACTGTTGGGGAGTCCTAAAAAATAATATTTACAATAGATTTGGAGGTCCTTAAAAACAAAAGTGAAATGATATAGTAGAAACAAAGATTATTAGTAGGAAGGAGAGGCATAAAAGGTAAAATATATATTACCAACTTGAATGAGATGTAATCTTTCATAAATATTAAGCTTTAGGATAAACTTTAAAAATGATCTTTAGGAATTTCTTATATAGAAAATATGTCATCACAAATTTTTAGACACTAATGCTGTTGAAAGTGGAGAAATAGTAAATCCTTATGGTATAATGAGTATCTCAGGATTAGCTTACATCATTAATTCAAACTTTGGATAATTAAAATAATTCTAATTGTTTGATATGGAAAAATGATCACTAATTTCAAAAAATAATCATTAAAGCCAAATACATAAATTAATCTGGAATGTGCCATGTGAAACACTTTCTTAATACACTTTCTCAATAATTTTAAATTTTCTTTTCTGAGTCAAAGCTCATTCATTGCTTTCTGAATAGTTTTTCAGAGAACATTTTATACTGTTAACTTTATGACAAAATTCCATGTTACTATCTGCATTGATAATTTGTTTTAACATTACAAATTACAGAGAGGGAATATATTTTGTGGCTCATGGAAAACACACCTTTCTAGATAGAGGTTGATTTCTGTTCTCATTTTATCCACTATTCTCATTTCTTCATATCGGAGAAGATTTGCACAGATGACATCATTACTCTGTCACCATTTTCCATTCTGCTAAAGTACTACCTCTTGGCCCTGAAATCTATTCTTATAATCTTGCTTGACATAACAACTTGGCATAGGATGGCAGAGCCTAGACACAAAATATCTGGCGAAGGTACATTCAGATTATGACATGTCAGGGCATTGTAAAATGGGTAATGAATTTTTAAGGAGAGTAAAGAGTTGTGCTGTGTCCCAGTCAACTGAAGTTGATTAAAAATTAATTAGACCGTAGTTCTTAACTTTTTAAAGGAATAGATCCCCGAGGAATCTAGTGAATATTATAGACCTGCTTCCTAGAAAAGTGCTAATCTGTGTATATGGACAAAAATTTGTATGCATCCACAGTACTTAGGGGCCTCTTGAATATCTCCTTGCATCTCAGGTGAAAAATTTGTGCATCAGGTCTGTGACTTTAATAAAAAACTCCTTAGCTGCATATGTGTCTATCAAGATGCGCCTGCAGTTAAAGACACATAATGATGTGGGGGGAACCTTACTAATCTATCGTTATCTCAATCCTAATAATAATGAGGTTGCAGAGGAAAGTAAAAGTGTACCAAAAATTAGATTATTCACTAAGAAAGTTGTTCTTTTATAAAGCAGTTGTCTTTCAAGCATCTCCTTCTTAATAAATTATGCCACCTGTGTATTAGAGTTATGAGTCAATTTTTCTAAAGCTACTGAATGTTGTGAACATGCAACCATAACATTTTGAAATGATGCAAATAAATTTCAAAGTAAAAATAATGTAAATTTAAAAACAAATTATTTGATGTGTCCAAGAATCAAGAAAGACTCTTAGAAAAACTGATGAAAATCTAGAATATTTTGCAGAAATGAGACATAACAGTAAACTAGTCATATTGTTTATCAAACAATTTTTTTTCACAAAAGGCAACAATAGTCATGGGACTATTAATACACAATAAAAAAACTCTCCTAAGCCTTGTTCTTTCAAATAATTAATACATGGTTTCATTGAATAAAACTTTCTTTAAAATAAGATAAAATAATTTTATTATCTTTAGTTATTCTTTTCAAGATGATGCCCCATCTAATTTTTTCCTGTATTATAAAATGTCTGTCTTTTGATGAATTCATATTGAACAAGCTTTCCAACTTCAAATTATCTTAAAATAATGAGGACCCCCTGTGAGTAGATGTAGCTCTTCATAATTTTTTTCTTTTAGGGCTTTTTTCTTCTTGAATGTTCCTGTATCAACTTAAGAATATATGTACAGGTCATATTTTCTCAGTTTATAGATTTATCAGAGACCTTAACTATTTTTATATAGTTTTTTTTAAAGCTGTAAATAATAAATAACCAGATAAGCTAGGGACACTGAGAAATAACTTTTTCTTTTTCAACTCATTTTTTCCACCCATATGACTGTAAATCAAATATTTAATAGCTCTCACTTAAAAAAAAAAGTAGACACGAGGAATGTCTTGATTTGGTGTGCTCATTTACCATATGTCAAGGGAGAAGTTAGAGTTCACAACTTAAAAAAGAATAGATTTTTCTTTTGTTTTGAAAGACTGGGTCATTCAGGAATTTTCTTTTACTTCAACATATCACAAAAATACTTTTCCTGTTCTGATATTGTAGAATGTAAACATTTAAATAAACAAATGGCATAACTAAGAGTTCTAATGTTTTTCACGATGTCTCTGACCTTGTAAAATACTTTAGATATTTACTGATCATCTGATATCTAATATGTGAATGAAAACTGGAATCAATTAATCATTTTTCTGTGTTGTCAGCGCAATCCCAACCGCCTAAATCTCTTAAAAGCACATGAATAATTGAATTTTGCTTCAGTATTGATAATGGCACAGCTCATATGTACTACATGGAACTGTGCCCCTCCAGTGCCCAGCATGTTGATAAGTATGTCAGTTTCAGTTAGTGTACATTACATATACAGAGGCCTTTTTAGTATGATGACCACTTATGTACCTAACCCTGAATTGTACCTCACATCTTTAAAATAAAAAATAAAAGCAATTTTTCTAATAAATACTAACCACATTTGGAGTGTTGCTGATCTCATGTGTTAGTCAAATCTTCTATAATCATTGTTCATTGATATTCTAATATTTTATTATCTGTATAATTTTTTATTTGAAAAGAAGAAACGATTCAAAAATTGAGAAAAATAGTTTCTCTTGAAATTGTCTGCCCTATATTTTCCCTGTGATGTTTATAGAGAATTTGAGTATATAGGAGATATCAGAAACCAGTTGTTTGATATAAAATAAATATCCCTCAAGATACAACCAATTTAATGATGAAATATATTGTCTACTGCTTTGTACAGAAAAGGGAACTTTTTATCTTGTTGTAAAGGGATTTATACGTGTATTTCTACATAATGAAATGATTTCTATTGTGTTTTCTACTGATGGAATCCTCTGTAAATTGTCTTTTTCCTACATTATCCAACAAACTTAAGGAATAAAATTAATGACCTTTATGTTTGCAACACTACCTCTTCCATTCCTGTACTACCTTTCTATTTCAAAAATTCTATATTTTCACCTTAATTTTTTCCACAGAAATAAATTTAAGCTGGCAGTTATATATAACAAAGAAAATATACAAAAAGAGGAAATTGCTATTTTGATGAAAGATGCTATTTTACTGAAAGAATTATATATTATCAGGAAGTTACATATTATATTGTTCTTTAAAACATGACTACTGAAGTTTAAAGGCAAACCAAATTCAAGAGTCTTTTCCAACAGCATAGCTGTTGCTTATGGCACACAAAGCTAAAATTAATTCAGCTATTTAATCTTAATAATAACAACGTAGTTAGAAATCCTTGACTTTAATAGTATTTTATATATGTGAATAGCTGAAATAACATTATTATAATTTTAATCTAACATTGATTAGATCAAGAAAACACTGTTAATGTAATAAGCCTGTAGAATTTGTAATTGTTGCTATTTTTCATTTTTAATATCAACCTAATGTGTCTTATTTTCTAAGAAAATTGAGAACATTGGTGAA